AAATAGCTGGGAGCACAGAATGACCCCAAATGTCGACATCAGGCTGCACGCCAGGACTAGTCGTCCAATCAGTGTGCCGTGTGCGTGTGCTGCATGGCGTTCGCATCTCCCTCCCGTTGGATGACCACCCGGCCTGATAGCAGGGACTCCAATTATAGATTCAGCAATATTTGTGAACATTCTGCCGTTCGTGGTAGATATAAGGTACATGTCCTTCACTAATACTTCTCCACGCAACAGGTAGACCGCATAATTTGGTTCCGCTCCTTCCTTCACATCAAGCCCGCTGGTCAGGCTTTGAATACCCATCTTTAATTACGAGCAGCCCGGTCGAGCCCTGCCATCCTGTCCCTTACGAATCGTCCCGTCGCGCGTTAGTCGTTATTGCCGCATTGTTTACTGGCTTTCCTCATATACCACCGCTCTGGGTACATCAAGCGTCCATGTCCTCCTCGTCCGCTCCCCCATCCGCTACCAAACAGTCCTCCACCATGGTAGGGACTACAAATGCTGCTAATGCAGCAAAGCAACAAGCTGCAGCAAAAATGCACCGTCGTTCACGATCAGGTAAGGACCACCCTTTCGATGACATGCAGGGATCCTGCGCATGGACGGTTGACTAACGGGAGCTCTGCAGGGTGCTTCACATGTCGCCTGCGACGGAAGAAGTGTGATGAGGGCAAACCATCTTGCCGCGCCTGCAAACACCTTGGTCTCAAGTGCGAATACAAGAGGCCAATGTGGTGGAGCAACAATGAACAAAGGCGGACTCAGAAAGAAGTCATCAAGAACATCATCAAGCGCACCAAGCTTAATGAGAAGACAGCACAGAGCGGCGCAATGGGCACCAACACACCACCAAGCCTGTGCCATTCTATGCAAACTGCCGACACCTTCTCAGACGGTGTCAGCTGCACTCGCGCGCCATCTGTCGACTCCCAGAACTCGCTGGACTACAACTTCAACCCCACTGTCACACCCGACTTCTACAACTCGTCAATGCCTCCGCCAATGTTCGCCCCGACTTTCACCCACCCAGGTCACTACGTACCCTACGACATCGACATCAAGACCGAGAGCCAAATGTTCATCAACGACATTCCAACTCGTCGCGATTCCACACTGTCATCCTACAGCCACTACCAAACTCCGCCCGCTCACATCTATCCCACGGACGACTGGATCCAGAAAGATTACTTCGAGCGCCGCGAATCGTACATTGAGGAGCCCCTCGAATTTCCCATCTTTGACTACACTACCTACGGTGCTTTCAGCCCATCACACCAGCCCTCCATTCAGGTCGAAGACTGTGATCGCCATCTTCTCAGCCATTTCCTCGACAACATCATGCCCACAGCATTCCCAGTTCTTGAGACAAACCAGCCCGGCGCTGCGCAGCGCGATGTGATCATTCCAGCTCTGGAGTCTAACAAGGCTTACCTACACTGCTGCATGAGCATTTCTGCGCTACACATGAAGACCACCCAGGGACTTGTGGGAGAGGAGATCGACCTAGACATTCAACGGCATCGCGGAGAAACTGTTCAGCAGCTCACTGCGGCGCTCTACAGCGACAGCCAGCATGGTCAGACTCTCGAGGCCGCGCTTGGTATGATCTTCTTCCAGTGCTCAGTCGGCCGATTCAACGATGGCCTGATGGACATTCCGTGGCATGGCCACTTCGAAGCAGTCCAGAACCTTGTTCACAGGCTCGAGCTTCCTGCGCAGATGATCGCGATGAACGGACAAGCACACGCTCAGCCTCCCTTCAACATGACACTGGCTTCCTGGATCGACATCCTCGGCGCTACTATGCTGGGCAGGACACCATCTTTCGCTGACACCTACCGCGAGAAGCTCATCGCTGACGCATCATCTGGCCTCGCCGAACTCATGGGCTGTGAAGATCGCATCATGTACCTGATCTCGGAGATTGCTTGCCTCGAGGCGCTGAAGAACGAGAACATGGATGTTGTCCAGCTTTGCGCGCACATCAAGCTTCTCGGTGAGCAAATCAGCTTGACTGAACCTCCCCAGGGATCGCTCAACAGCGCCTACACATCTACCGGCGAGATTCTACCAAGGCAGCTTCGCCGCAACATGACGGCAGTGTACCGTCTAGCCGCCCGGATCTACTTGTGCAGCCTAGTGCCAGACTTCGACCGCACATCGGCCACATTCGTCAACCTGGTCAGCGCCCTTTGCAAGGCTATGGAGTACATTCCTGCCGGACCCGACGGATTTGACCGCTCCCTTGTATGGCCCCTTTTGGTCGCTGGCTCCGTCTCGGTGCAACAGTCAGGATTCCGCAGCATGTTTGCTGAGCGCTCCGCCCTCTTGGGCGAGGCTGCTAACTTTGGCTCGTACGGACGAGTCAAGAACCTCTTGGAAGAGGTATGGCAGGTCAACGACGACAACCTCGCGAAGGGCAACACCCAGAGTGTCCACTGGCGGGACATGATGCGCCAGAAGAACTGGGACTTTTTACTCATCTAGAAAGCCTGGCTCTTCTGCTGGTATGCATCCTGGTCTGGTGTTTCTCTTCGCGAACTACATTCTCTCTACGTCTGTCGCTCGCCATACCTCTTTCGATCACCACAAAAGCGCTTTGCTTATTTCTTTGCATATATTTTCTTCACTACGATACCCACTTTTTGTAATTTGGATACCATTGGCTCCACGGGAGCAATGCAGCATTTCTAGGGCGCAGCAGCATCGACTGGATGGCGTTGGAGGGACTTTACGGGTGACGATTTCACGGCCGAATCTGGGGCGTGTTTGGAAAGGGGCACATGGAGTGCATGGGAAGCTAGCGCAGCACCCAGGCGCCAACATGTATAGTAGAGTTGGATGGGGCTCGAGTGAGCGCCCATGGATGGAGGAGAGAATTGAAGCTGAAACGAGCGTATCGCTCAAGATTACAACGCCTCTTTGGTGCATATGTGACGGTGATTGGCTGTAGAGGGTTGGCGCATGTTGCTGCTGAAGAGAGGCCTCTAATTTTAGCGAGAACATGGGGCGGACTGCGACGCTGCAAGTCGACGCGTACAGCAACAGACGACCAGCACAACGGCCGCTTCGAGTTTGCCATCCAAGTTGCAAGCAGGTTGCGGGGGCAGCATCTAGGCTCTGTCGACTGCATCGCGTTGCACGCCGTCGAGTGCGGGCCCGTAGAGACTACCATTTTGCCGTGGCCGTTATTAACACCTAGACTCGTATTCCGCCCCCACCCAGTTGTATAGACGTACTGCACCGCGCCGCCTGCATCGCGCCCTCGCCATCCGAACTCCACCTTTGCCATGGCGTCTCCAGCGCCGGTTCCCTTCACCTCGCTCGACACCAGCACGCGGCAGCCAGCGAAGGATGAGGTCGAGTCGCCGAGCATCTCGAGCACCAACGCGCTTGCCCGCTACGAATACGAGGCGGGCCACGCCAATGCCACGACGGGCACCAAGATCCTCATGGTAGAGTGGGAGGACGACGACACGACGCGCGGGGTGCGCGGCGACTGGCACATCTCGTGGGACGGCAGCACGCGTGTGCTGCCGGCCGACGACCAGCCTGCCAACGACGTGAACCGCATGTATTTCCTGCTGCCTCCGGGCGTTGCGGTGCCCACCAGCGTCACACTCACGCTACGGCCCCAGGACGCTAGTATATCGCCTGTGGTCTGGCACACCAACCCTCTGCCCGCCCTGTTTCCGCCTGAACTCGGAGCCTCCGCGCGTGCAGCCGGCAAGAAGGGCGTGCTGCACACCATCTGGGCCAAGAAGCGGTTACAGGTCCTGCAGAAAGAGATTGAGGCCGAGTCGCGCAACAACGTCGAGGGCATTGGCCTGCTCATGGTGGTGCAGGAGAAGGAGTGGATCGAATCAACGTTTGGCGTCAATGCCAAACCAGCCGGCCTGAGCATCTCGTTGGGGGAGCCGACGTTAGCCCCGATGAAGGGTCCAGCTAGCCCACGATCTCCAGGCGGAGGCAGGCTGATGGACAAGCTGGCTGGCCTGCGACTGGGCACGAGCGAGCGAGACCTCACACCGAGCAGCAGCACGCCGGGCTTCTCCAATCCTCTCTCACCTGAGTCCTCAGACATCGCCATTAGCTCCTTTTCCGTCTTCAAGGGAGCCAACCCGTCGGCACTTGCGGCGAAACCTCCACAGCAACCGCAGTCTGAGCCTGCAGCGCCACCTCGCAAGGTCGTTCCTCAGGCCCCGCCGCAGTTCATCACAGAGCAGCAAGGCGCCGGCATGATGGGTTCACTGAATGCTCTATCGGGCCCTGCGCCCATGTTCCAGTCACGGGATCCCCCTGGACCTACAGATGAGGATGACAAGGACGACGGGCTGTTTGCACTGCCGATAAGTCCGCGAAGCCCCGAAGTGGGAAAGAGCCCGTTTTCGTTTGCGGTGAACGAGACAGCTCCGTTCTTGAAGGAGGAGAGTGCTGTATGAGTACTGTCGTGGATGAATCTACGGGTGCATCAGGGCAGCATGGGTGCGGTGTGTTAGTCAAAGGGTCGATGTAGCCCTTTTTATGAAAGTGATACCTTAGTGGCTTCCTGCCGCTGCGAGAATTCATTCTAGTTGGAAATATCGAGAGTGATATTCCCATCATCATCACTGCCAAGATATAGTGAACGCAGCATGGTGATGTACACCGTGAATGTCTCAACATGATGTGGGCACCTCAACAACGAGTGAAACCGACAAAGGCCAAAGCCTGTGAGATCCAGTCCTCAGATATACTTGCCGGTGACTGAGTAAATCAGCAGCGTAACTGTACATGGTGGCTGCAGACTAGGTGAAGATCGCTGCACGTACCAAGGCGCTAGAGGGCGTCGCTGACGAAAGTTGCCGACGCGATCTCAGGCGCAACTTCGACGCTCCCACGGTACTGTCGCAAAGCCCCCAACACGTCCAGCTCCCCGTCATCCTCCGTCGCACTCCTCTCGCCCCCGATCACGAGACACAACCCACCGGCACCGATTGACGCGCGACAAAATGCTCACCACCGGACGCGGCAGCATTGCCCAGATACACTACACGGGCGAGGAAGCTGCGGGTGAGATCAACAAGCTTCTCAGCGCCGTCGTGAGTAATACCCCACCTGACCGCGACCACGTGCTAACCCATGCTGTAGGTAGAGAACGAAGACGACTTTGAGAGATGGGAAGCGCTCGTCACTCGCGCCTCTGACCTCGAGGGCGGCGTCACCCGCAACTCCAGCCCATCCGCCATCGAACTGGTGCGCAACGTGTACGACTGCTTCCTGACCAAGTTCCCGCTCTTTTTCGGATACTGGAAGAAGTATGCCGACCTCGAGTTCTCCATTGGCGGCACCGAGACGGCCGAGATGGTCTACGAGCGCGGCGTCTCGTGCATCACACCCTCAGTCGACCTGTGGGCCAACTACTGCACCTTCAAGATGGACACATCGCACGACAACGACATCATCCGAGAGTAAGTCTTGCCTTTCCTCCCCTTCCCTCCTCCCGATTCGCAGGCTCAATCTCGCCGTAGCCAGCGGCAAGTCTGGCGCAGCCTGGCGTTGCGCCTGCAGACCTGACACAGTTTCGTTGCATGCCGTTTGATGCACCCTCTTACTGCCCCGTTACAATATGCCCCACGAAAGAGCGAGATCGTACGCTAGAGTTCTGAAGTCGATGGCATTGCCGTCCTCTGATGGCATGAGAGGTTACTTTGCAAGATCACCCCCTCCTATCCCTCCCCATACTTGCTTTCAACATGCTGACCTAATAGTCTGTTCGAGCGCGGTGCTCATTTCGTTGGTCTTGACTTCCAGAGCCACCCGTTCTGGGACAAATACATCGAGTTCGAAGAGCGCATCGGCGAGCCAACCAATGTCACCAAAATTTACAGCCGTGTTCTACACCTGCCCATCTACCAATTCGCCCGATACTTCGAGAAGTTCTCCGTCCTGCTTAACAGCCGACCAGTCGATGAGCTAGTCGACCCCGATACTCTCGAGGAGATGAACAAGGCGATCCAACTGGAGAACCAAGGACAGCCCGAGAAGCCAGCGCTTGAGATCGAGCGGCAGCTGCGCAACAAGATCCACGAGCACTACTACACCGCATATGGCAAGACACAGCAGGAGGTGACCAACCGCTGGACTTTTGAGCAAACCATCAAGCGGGCTTACTTCCACGTCACAGAGCTCGAAGATGCCGAGCTGGAGAACTGGCGCAAGTACCTAGAATATGAGGAGAAGCAGGGTAACTTTGAGCGCACTTCTTTCCTGTACGAGCGCTGCCTCGTTGCCTGCGCGCTCTACGACGAGTTCTGGCTGCGCTACGCCCGCTGGATGTTTTCACAAGGCAAAGACTATGCGGAGAACACAAGGATAATCTACATGAGGGCTAGCTGCATATTCGTACCAATCTCCTCTCCTGAAGTACGCCTGAACTGGGCGCGATTCGAGGAGAAGCTCGGCCGTACTTCTGTTGCACGCGATATCTACTTGGCCATCCTCGACGAAGCCCCCGAAAACACCGAGACTCTCATTGCTCTAGCCGGAGTAGAGCGACGCCACGAAGGCAACGATGCGGCCGTCCGCCTCCTAGAAGAGCACATCGGTCGCTCAAACAACCACATCGGTGGCATACTAGCTGCTGAGCAGGCACGCATACTCTGGCAATGCAAGGGCAGCGTCGATGAGGCACGTCAAGTGTTCAAGGACAAGCACGAGCGATTCCTGGACTCGCGTGAGTTCTGGGTCAAATATCTTGAATTCGAGATCGCACAACCCTCACCCGATCAGGAAGAGGGCCATACCCGCATAAAGGCAGTTCACGAGCTGATGCGCACAAAGGGACGCTTCTCCGCAGACGTCTCAAAGGAACTCTCCCACTACTACATGGCTTATTTGATGGATCGTGGTGGCAAGGACGCAGCCGAGGAGTACATGCAGCTGGATAAGGATGTCAATGGGTATGTATCATCTGCTAAGAGCGACCCCTCCCAACTCCCATCCCAGAAGAAACGTAAAGGACAGCCTCACAATGCAGCAAACAAACGTCAGCGCAAGTAGTTGTGCTTTAGGTCTCCCCAGCACAGCGAAACTGCGATGCGCGCTGCTGGTCGAACCATGACTCTCTAGTGTCTATCATACCCCTTCTTGAACTTTTTAGTATTTACCATTTCCTGCACCTGCACGATCACTAGAAAACGTAATACACCACGATTCTCGTCCTCTCATTATTCTTGCTGACATTGCGTGTTCAATACAGTGCAAAGCAGATCGAAGACGCCGCTACTGCTCCTCCTGTGCCTCAAAAGCCTGGTCACCGAAGCCGCTTCTAGGAGTGCGATAGTAACTTGGTATGCGCCTCTTCGAAGCCCTTTCTCATTGCTTGACTGACGGTACGGCCCAGACGAGGTGTGACCATCCCCATTCACCCGAGCTTTCCACACCCGAATACTGCGCCCCAAGTAATGTCTGGTCAGCTTTCCGCACGTCACGTCGAGGCAAAAAGCCTTGATAAGACTGCGATATCCATGCCAACCACCCTTGTGATGGGCAGGCTCCAAGCCATGGGTAGACCCGCGCTGTCTGTCTTATTCTCAGGTAAACCATCCTGCCCACTTTCCTCTAATTCTGTTGTCTACACTGTAAAATTTCCTGGCGTTATTTCTTCGTTCCATGCGATATCGATGTTATGATGGGACGTGCTCGTAAGAGACCTTGTGTTAGCTTGGGTAACGTAAGGTCGATAGCCGCTCGTGTCGAGCTGATGTATTTGTACAAAATATTCCAAAAGATAAAGTAAAGATCATCACCATCACATCATGCACAGTGAACGTCCATCTGGAGGAGTTTCATCATTACTTGAGATTATTCATGACGCATAGGTACCGTACAGCCATAACATCACCCCCACCCCAGAGTCTGTCTACACGACAAACCCACCACTATTCTTCTGCCTGGGCTCACCCGCCGCCTCAAAAGTGCCATTCGTCAAGCGCCTCAAGCCCTGCGCGGTACTCGACCCCGGCGCAACCCACGTAACATTACTGCCCAACCCCTTCAAGAAAGCCGTAGTCCCATTATCAAACCCATACTCAAAGCTGACCTGCGCCGGCACCAGCTGATCGTGAATCCGCGGTTCGGCCAGCGCCTCCGCCGTCGTCATCTCCCCATCAAGGATATGAAGCAGATTCTGGATCGTAGCCGTAATGATGCGACTTCCTCCCGCCGCGCCAATGGCGACGTAGAATGCACTAGCGATGGACGAGGAGTTGAGGTGCTCGACGATGACGGGCGAGATGGAAGATAGAGGGCGTTTACCGGGACGGATGAAGTTGGCAGGTGAGGGGATATATCCGAACGCGTTCGTTGTGTTAGGGATGCTGAAATCGTTCATCTCGTTGTTCATAATGACACCGGTTTCAGGAACCACGAGCTTGCTTCCAAAGAGCAGGTTCACTGTCGTCGTCAGTGTAACGGCCATGCCGCTCTTGTCCGCCGTAACGATATGGCTCGTTCCGGGTGTCTCGAGGGATTCCAGACCAGCGGGGTCGTAGTAGGACACGTCGAACGTTTTGGTGTCGGAGATCTTGGATCGGACTTCCTTTGCTGTGGCTTCGGATAGCATTTGCTCTTGGTATGTGTCTATGCCTGAGAGGAAGAGGGGGTCGCCTAGTTCGGCGCGCATGCCGTAGGCGAATCGCATGCTTTCGTCTAGGCGGTGCGTGGTTAGGTTGATGTTTGAAGGGTGGCCAACGTGGGAGTAGCCTTCCATGATTTTCAGTGTCGCGAGCGCGACTTCGCCGCCTGAGGGCGCGCTGCAGGCTGTGAGTTTGTAGTCACGGTAGGTTATCGTGGATGGCTTGCGGATGGCGACTGTGTAGTTGGCGAGGTCGGCTAGAGTCATGGTTCCGTTGGCGGCTTGCAGAGCACGGATTGTGGCTTCTGCTATGGGGCCGTTGTAGAATGCGTCGGGACCGTTCTGGGCAATGGTCTCGAGCGTGTCGGCGTAGCGCTTCCGCGTGATTGTCTCGTTGAGCTGGAGGAGACGTCCTTTGGGCGCGAAATCAAGAGCAAACTCGAGATCGTCGACTAGGAAGTTGGAAGATGAGGTAGCGGAGGCCATGTATTTCACGAGATCTTCGTTGACTCTCCAGCCATTTCTGGCGACCTTGACAGCTGGGGTGAGGACAGTGGACCATGGCAGGACTCCGTAGTTTTCGTGAAGATGTTGAAGACCACGGAGTTCACCGGGGACACCGGATGCGAGACCACCGTTGATACTGGCGTCTTCGTTGTTCTTGTACATGTCTTCAAATGCAGCGGCTGGGGCTGTTTCGCGGAAGTCAATGAACTCGTATGTACCGTTTGGTGCGCGGACGAGCATGAATCCTCCTCCACCGATGCCTGTAGTTTTTAAATACAATTCAGTCAAAAAGTTTGGAAGATACTCACCTGAATGGTACATGCCGACCACACCTACACATGCCACAGTACCTACCATGGCATCGGCAGCATTTCCACCCAACTTCAGCAACTCAATACCGATGTGACTGCAGATATCACTTTCCGAAGCAACAGCGCCCAACTGGCCGTCCTCCAGTATGGGCGGCGCAGGGTAACCGGAGGACCATGACTCCCCGCTCTTGACCGGAGTACCCAAGACACTCTGCAGCGTCAACAGGCCGGTGAAGCACTTGACCAGCGAACCGCGAGCCATATCCGCAGCAGCACAGTATTGACGAAAAGAGGGAGGAAGAATAAGCTCACCAAGCCAACGCGCCGCATTCCAAGTGCTCATCGTGCAGATTATATACTAGCCGAAGTCGGCTTGGTGGATCCCGCGTTTGCGCCCTGCCTTCCTCGCCCTGGTGATAGCCACGGCAATAACTGGTAACGGTACGCGGCTGGGACGGATTAGGAAGCTGCAAACGCACGAGGCTGGGATTGCGTGCGAAGCTGTCGCAATGCAGAATTAGGCGCTAAGAGGTAAAGTTGCAAACACAAACCTACGTAGCTAAAATCTAGAAGCTAACTTAACTTTAGGTTAGTGTCTCTATATAAGTACTAAAGTTAAAAAGCTTATTAAAAATAAGGTTTATAAACGTATACCTCTTTTTATAATATATAGCACTAAGATAGGTTTAGAAGTACTATATATAGAGGTAGAGTTATAGTAATAGCATGTAAAAAAGAGTAGGTATTAATAGGCTTTTTTTTTTATATATTTAAAGAGAGCAGGCGCTCTTTAGCTTTCTCTTATTAAGTATAGATACTTACGCAATATATATTATTATATATAGAATTTCTTAGAGCTATAAATAAAATAAAAGTTAGTAAACCTACTAGAAATTATACTATAGACCTTAGAAATACTAAGTATTAAGCCTTAAATAATACTTAATATATTAGTTCTTATTCTCTTTATATATTAACTATATAACTTCTATTATACTATAGCTATTATACTCTCTAAGTATACTAATAGCTATAGTTTTAACTTAACTATAAAAATAACATCTTAGAAGTAAATATTAAAAGGCTATTACAACTTTAGAAGATATAAGAGAAGGTTTATAAGCTTACGCTATACTAGATATATAACTACTCTAGTCTTTATAGTATAGTTACTATACGTACACCTTTATTTAGCGTAGTATAGACTATAAATATTAATACTATTCTTTTAGTATTCTTAAGAGCTACTATAAGAAGGTATAGAGAACTTTATATATATAGAAGAGAGTAAACTCTACTATAAAGCCTTTAAGATATTAAAGCGTAATACTACTAATATTTAGAGTAGTAGAAATTAGAACTACTAAGAAATAGGTGTAAAGTGTCTAAAATTACAATAGCTATTTAGCGTAGACTAAGAAGAGTATATATACTAGATAGTAACTATAGTATAAAATCTACTAAAGTATTATAGTAATAGAGTAAGAAATAAGAAGGTTATAAGAGCTATATATTTCTATATATTCTATCTAAAATAATTAGAAGAAACTAGATCTTAAGAAGAAATAGGCTGTATATAAGGCTACTATAGATTAGCTATAGTAGTACTTTAAATCTTTATATATTTAGTTAGAGAATATTAGATTTTATATAGATAAAGTTATAGATATCTAAGTATAAATACTAGAAGAACTAAGAGCTTAGAATAGAGAGCTAAGTAGATATTAGAAAGAAGAAAAAGAAGAGCTAAGCGTGCTAAAGAGATAGAATAGAAGAGAAGTAGTAGTAGAAGAAAGAAGATAAGAGAATAGAGCTCTACTTATATAATCTTATTCTTTATATTATATTTAGCCTAGTAGATATAAAGAGTTACTTAGAAGGAATAAGATTTTAATTAAGAGGTCTAGAAATATACGTTCTTACTCTTGCTTCTAGAGTTTAGCTTAGTCTATCTAGTATTATACTTAGTGCGTAGAGTAGCTACCTAAATACAGCTCTTAGGCTCTTCTAGTATACGCCTCTACTACTATAGCTTATTACGCTTCTTTTAGCTCTTTAGAGGCGTAATCTTAGTAAAGACAAGAGTTTAGAGCTTAATATTCTTATTACTACGTTTATAGTCTAATTAATATTTGCTACATAGAATATAGAATAAAACTTATTCTCTATATATATATCTTAACTATTATTCTTCTTTCTAAAGTTACTAGTATAAGACTAAGATTGTCTAAGAGATATTAAGCGCGTTCTAACAGCTATTTACAATAATATTCTTAGTTTTAATAAGGTATTTACTCTAAATAGCTATTTTTTATATAGACTTTTTCTTTCTATAACTTAAGAAACACGTAAAATAGTAGTAGAGTAAGAAGTATTATAATTATTATACTTATAGGCGCAGAGCCTTCTACTAGATATAAAGCTAAGTCTAGAAGGTAAAGTAGTTAGTATAGAGTAAAGAAGAGGCTAGAGAAGAGATAGTAAAGCTTATAAAGTACAAAGTTTTAAAACAAAAGGTAGTAAGTAGGTAGTAGAATATAATATATAAAATAAAAATTAGAAGCTAACTCTACGCTGTCTAAGACAGCTACTAAGAAGGTAAGAGA